GCTTATCTCCTTCACGTGCATCCCTCATGCTCGAATTTGCCCGTTTTTGTGCACCTGAGGGATGGACCAGCGGGATGGACCAGGTTCATGTCTGAGTTCCTTTGTCAGTCTTCAAAACTAACCTTTACTTGGGCCAACAGTTCTGTTTGGACCGATGTTAACCGTTGTATCAGACCGTTAAGGTCGTCTTCGTCTGCTCTCACCTCGGCGCAGTAGGCGTTGTGAATTTCTTCCCAAGTGGTGGGAGGGTATTTCATGAGTCTGCTTAATAGTTTTCTTGTTGCTCTTGATCTATTCCTGTTCAACCCGTTCTGGAAAGCTTCCACCGCCATCCCTTCCGATACATTTGGTAAGCTCATTCTTACTCTATTAAACCGGGCTAAAAAGTCCCTGAGTCCCTCGCCAGGCGATTGCCTAACGACGAATATATCATTTACCCTGGCTTCCGCTTTCTTAGCTTCGGCGTGGGCGGTGACGAACTTGTCAACTATTTCCTCGCATGTTATTATAGATTGTGCTGGTAATTGTGAGTACCAAGTTAAGGCTTCCCCGGTTAAGGTCTCGCCAAACTTTTTTAGCAGCACTGACGGTACTTGCTCCTTTGAGAGATCGTTATCCTTTACCACCGTGACGTAATGAATGATGTGATCTTCGGGATCCGTCGTGTCGTCATATATCTTCAAGTATGGTGGCATCTTGTTGGTTTTGGGTATGGCATGTGGGGCTGCCTCCTCGTTGTATGGTTGTTCGATGAATCAGCCGATGTCCCATTTTGGTAGCAATTTTGGGGCGCCCGGTATTTTATCGACCCTTTCTTGATGTTCCCTCATCTGGTCGTGGAGCTCCTTGTTCTCGTTTTCCATTTCTTCCATTTTCATTAGAATGGCGCAAGTGCATAATTACCTGCGTCAACAGCGATGTGAGTGGTCTGTTGGACGAGCGGGTGGCTCGTCGGCGATTGTTGTAGTATTCGTCTGTAGGACGTCTCCATTTGCCCGATGAGCGGGTTTGTTGAGTATGTTATTTAGAGTGCTGGTCAGCCACTCTTCCAGTAATTTCTTCACCATGGGTGGTGCTTCCTCAGCTGTGGACATGGAAGCTCCCCTTTCGCGCGAAGCGGTTACACTCCCATGAAGGGGAGGTGAATCACTCCGCCTGGGTGTAGCACTCGGCGTCTCATTCTCCTCGTCCCCTCTGTCATCCTCGTTGATGGTGTTTAAGATGTTGGTAGTGATACCCATTATTGCTTTCTGTCTTTCATCTCCTTTCCCTGCCATTGTTAGTTTGTGCAGACCAGAAAAAGGTGGTTGTCCTTTATGATCTAAAAAAAACTAAAATTTTATCTAAAAAACTCCCCACAGACGGCGCCAAATTGTTTGACCAAAAAGTGTTGAGCCTTTTTGTTAAACTAATTAATGATGAAATGAAGGAGGAATCTTAGTTAAAAATAATAAATTCTAGATCAAATATTGTAGGAAATCGGTAAGATGAACGACGTTTGATAGCGTTAAATAGCACGTTTGTATTCAATGAATATCAATGAATATGATAACATGAACATGCAATAAATGTGGACAATGGCAATAAATTTAATAAGAAAGAATCTACCACCCAATTATTATATAATTTTGATGATTCTTTCTCCTAACAGCAACGTGAAAAGATGAGGAGTGAAGATGGTTAGGGAATCTTTGAATCTTGTGAACAAAGATTAAATAGCGTGCACTTGAATAAGATAATCAATGAGCAAGACAACTTTTTGTATATTCTCTCAAGTCAACCTTTTACAATGTGTTCTTATCAGAAAAAGTGAAGATCCCCCTTTGTTCTTTCTCTCTTCATATTTATAAGGGGTATTTCCAAGAAACCCTAAAAAGTACAAAATAAGGAGTATCCAAAAGAATATTCCTTATGCCTATTTTTATCTTTCCGTTATCTCTTTATTCCAGCTACTCGTCCCTGACAATAACCTTCCTGAGGACGGCCTCCCACTATTATGCAGTGGTCGACCTCGTCCTCGATCTTGTTTATCTGTTATTACTAGGTCACCAAATCTAGACCAATACAAGGGTATGGTGGATGAAAGCAGTTGCGAATTCAGAAATGCATATAAAGTCATTTTAAAACTACTAAATCGTGTAAGGAATTTGAACCCGTAACCAAAAATATTTATACATTTTATTTTATTTGTACAATACAACTTATCGACAAAAGGATATAATCAAATCCATTGCCAACACCTAGCTTCGCCCAGGATGGGAGACCCGTTGTACAGTTGGCGTCCATGCAACCACAAGAGCGGCCAATTACTACTGTTTGTAAAACAACCATGAAATTGCACATCGCGGAATCCGTCCGGATTAAGTTGACAAGGATTGCCTGCCCTATCCAATTATCTGTGGCCAGAGAAATTCCATTTTAACTCGTTTTCATCTTTATATATTATTCCAACGAACACAGCAATCTGAACACCTATTCCATATTCTGTAACAATGTATTAAAAGTTAAAACTTTAAACTCATCTTCTTGAAATTTGATGATGGGTACTTCTTATCAAATACGATGATGTATGCAACTATCACATGAAGCTAATTTCCCAATACGTGAGGCAATCTTTATGTACACGTTACACGTTGCCTGTCCATTTAGAAAGTTCGCATGTATAGGCTATCTACGTCACATCCTTTATGGTGCGGCATAAATACGAGATACTTTGTACATGGAGCAACCCTTTACTTAGTACATGGTAATATATTTAAGTAAGAAAGAAAAAGGAAGATATTGGTCTTAGTTAGTATGAAAACTACTAATAATAAGTTCTAGCTCCCAATTGAATAATTAAAATCTTTACTCACAAATGAAATCATCTCTCTCAATCGGTCACTCCAAGAAAGAGAAGGGGTGAAGGAGAAAAGAATTGGAAAGTTAGGTGGAACTTGGAAGGCCAAGTAAATGCATGGCCTATTGGCCTCTAGTTCAAAAAGTGCACGCAAGTAAGAAAGAAGGTGTCAATTGTTGTTATAGCTAATGCCCATTCTTTGAATTTGTCGTCTTCTACTGCCTTCTGCAGAAATGTAGCTACTATCAACAACTTTTCCTTGTCACATCTACAAGGAAACTATATTCAACTTCGGATTAATCCAAATTTATGCGTAAAGCTCGGAAAAGCACTTCCCGCCAGAATTTTTCCATTCCCAGTGGTCAAAGGCGAGACCTCTAGTAGTCTACGATCGATCTTCTATTCATCTTATCATAATTTTTGGTGGTCCTCTTGTTCTCGTTCAAATCGATCTTCTATCCATCTCATCACAATCGTTGATGCTCTCGTTTAAAGTGGAGCTATTACTCCCTTGCACAGTAAACACAACCTAACTTTTGTTTTTTTTTT